ATTGATGGTGGATTAACTGAGGGGGATAAATTTAAAAATCCCTCAGTACAGGAATCAGAGATTCCTTCCAAAAATCCTTCAGAGATCTCTTCCAAAGAAATACAGAATATAATTTGCTCTCTTCATCTTTTTGGTTAATTGTCTGAGTTATGATGATGGGGTTATCTATGACATTATAGTCCCTAGATCAATAGTGATCAGCACAGATTTTTTTAGAAATACCAGTTATTACAATAGAGACATCTGCCTATATTACTAATATTGGCCCAAAGTGAAGTCAAAAGATGAACTAAAGAAGCATTCAAGGAAATACATTCCAAAAATTTATTTCTTCTAAATCAAGCAAAACCTGTCCTGTTTGGGAAGTAAAATGCCATCATTTCCGCATGTCTGCAGTCTAGTAAGACCTACCAAATAAAGGAACCTCAACCTGTCATCTCCTTGGATACAAACAGAAGAAATGACCTTTATAAAATGCTTGCCATGTTCCGAGCATTTTGGTATGCACTTTTAATATTTGCAATCTTATAAAAAAAAGTCCCTGAGAAAAGCATGATCTTCTCATTTTGCAGAGAAAAAATAGGACTCAGAGAACTCACAAAACCAGCCACAGCCAATCAATCCCTGATAAAGCCCAACTGAGTTGTCAAGGTGAAGGTAAGAGAATAAATCAAAACCATCAGCTACTTCCTCTTTCTCCCCTCAATTTGTAATAGAAATGAAAAATGGTCAGATGCCTCCCAGTTTGATCTAAGAATGGTCATTCCCAAGGTTCTGTCTGTTTTTAAGAGTTGGGTGGCTGTGCCAAATAGTCAGTCTCATGCCACCCTCGTGACAGCTCCATTATAGATAAACCAGCAATTTTCCCGGATCCCCTTGGCACATGCAAACATGTTGAAGAAACTAGACGTCTGTTTCTTTGTCTGACACAAAGAGATCTCTCCCACCGTCCCAGGAGGACATTGCAGGGCTATTGACTGGTGGGAGTAAAGGAATTGTTCAGGCTAGGCTGGTGCTGTCTGTTCTCAGTAGGAGTCAAGGTGATGCAGGCAGTCAGGTAGACAGAAAAAGGCCCTCGTGACAATGGAATTCCTAGGGAGTAGTAAGACCACCTAGTCCTAAGGCCATCAGAACCCGCGTTGTGAGCACAAGAACTAAGGACTGATAAGACCTTAACCTGGTGCCAAGAGACACAGAGAAGGCTGAACCCCACCCACTCCCCAAGAGAAGCTCCAGCAAAAACAAAAGCCAGGAAAGGAATTTCCATCAATCACTCCCAACACTACCCCCTTGGCAACCACCCTAACAAAGGACTCTTACCTAGCTAGAAAGCCCCACGTGGGGCATATAAGGAAAAAAAATCCATAAAAGCCATCTTAAACAAAGGAAGTGTGCACATTTGTTGCCCGAGCCCCTGTGCTGCTTGTGTCCACGTGGCCAAGCACATGCGGCTCCCACATCTCCCCTCTCAGGATGTGTACTGAGACTCTCTTCATCTTTAGAGAAGCCCACATTCTCTTTGGAAGGCGTTACTCTTACTCCTTCACCTTCCTCAAATCCTCCAAATAAAATCTGTTTTCACTTCACTGCTTGTCTACTCCTGAAATTCTTTTCTGTGATATAGAGCAAAAACCTGAAAAACCTGGGTAAGACCTAGGGCTGACTTTTCTTTCCTGCAAAGAGCAATTCCTTGCTCCAGCTAGAATCCAAAGCTCCCCGAGAAATCAGGTGGTAGCAATCAACTCCCATGCAGAGAAGACCAAGAGGATGTCAGGTATAGTAGAGCTGGCAGGACTCTGGCCTGTGATGTGCGTGCAGGGGCGTATCACAGACTTTATCAGTCCTAACCTTCCCAGCCAGTCCTGGGGTGTCAGAGGCAGATCGGGAGAAAGTGACTGTCTCTCTTCTCTGACTCACATAAGCCACCCACCGGCTTCAAAGGGACTAGGTCAAAAGTCTTGCAGGATTGCTTTTCACTTGTTTGCTTTAAAACATATTTTTTATTTTAAAGTTTTTTAGTCGTCGCTACACACCTGAATGCTGAAGGCGGTTCTTTGCCGAGTCCCAAGATGAAGGAAAGCCCAGGACTTTCCTGAGACTACCCCTTCCATTTCATCTTGGGGCAAGAGTAAAATCATGCCAAGGAAGTAATCAGGAACTTCCTGTGGGTTTGCCTCTGCAACACAGCTTGTATTTAATCCTAACACCTCTTAAAGGAAGGTCCCGATGAAGGGACCGGACAAAGACTAGACAAGGACTAGGAAGACTATAAGGAGACAAGGGTGAGGGAACTATGATGACTGGGACCATGACCAAAAAGACGACTACAATTGTGCTGTAAGGGGAGAGATTGAACTACACTGGGGAGGAGAGAGAAATAAACAGACTACCAGCCAGCCTGTGGCCCTGTTTCTCCATTTCCCAGTCCTTAGTCTATCCATTGCAGTGGGCTGGCCAGGGGAACGACACGCAGCCACCAAACGCTCAAGTCCTGCACTTTTCTTTGAAACTCACACATACATAGGTATGAAATCTATTATGAACATTTTTGCTTCGAGTTACCTTGAGTATAGAAGGTACTCAGTAAATACTAGTCACAGAATAAATAGAAGCACACAGTCATAGAATCATAGACTCACTGAGCTGAAAATGACCTCATACAAAGTATTTGTGGAGCACCTATATGATCAGATACTGAAAGCTGGTCATCAAGGGAAACTGCAGCAAATCTAGGAGGGCGGTAATGTACCAATTTCATTGTACAGGTGAAGAAACAGAGGTGAAAGGAGGTGTTTTCATGCACCTCTTCTCTTGGATAAAGTCATCTCTCAATCCCGCTAGAGTTGAAACTTGCTCCAGATTGTAGTTATCCAAATCACTGCTCCAGTGGCCTCATCTGTCTCCTCATCTAACCAGGATAGAAAAAGAAAGAGCAAGAGCCCTTCCTTGTGACTCTGGGGCCTTTACCAGATGTTGAAGTCTATCTCTGTCCCCGAAACGCATTCACCCTCAGTGTACAGAGTGCTGCCAAAGCTGTTCACAAGCCTCATGTGGGACTGTGGCGGGGCTCTGCCAGGGATCCTGGTTTGAGGCACCTCATTTTTCCTCTCTCAGATGCAGTTTCTCCTTGTAAAACAAGTCATATCCTAAGACAGTTCTGTGACCCTGACCCTGACACAGTATGCCAATGCCTCTCAGTATCTGTATTACACAAACCATAATGCCTGAAAGTAGAGAGAGAATATGGGAAAATTTTTCTGCCATGGAGGCAGGTGGAAAGTTGGAAAGGTTGGGGCAGATAACACCAGGAACATTGGTGGTGGAAAATGTGCACTGGTGGAGGAGTGAGTGTCCAATCATTATATAACTGAAACTCAAACACGGAAGTTTTGTAACTGTATCTCATGGTGATTCAATTGAAAGAGACAGTGAGAGAGAGAGAGGCCAAAAACTTTTTTATCACTCTTGATCGAGTGACTATTTGAATTTATAAAATGTGTCTGAATACATCACAGCCCACATGGGCAGGAGTGGGCCTTCCCATGCGGGTTAAGCAGTGCACCCCTTTTCCAGAGTGTGCCCCCCAGCACCACAGAGCGGCCTTCCCAGCCATTGGGTAGTGGTGGGGAGACTGTCCTGACAGGAATGGATGGGAGAGGGCTGGAACACACTGAAGACCATCATCCTCGATTTTGCTTCACACAGTGAAATCCCTGAGATTGGAATAAATGTCATCCCTTAGATGCAAACATCTTGGGAGAGAATTTTCTTTTTTTTTTTTTTTTTTTTTAGTTTGCTCATGCTTTGGAGGGTGGTCAAGGTTTGGGGGAGATTTTCTTCTTTTTCCTCATGCACTTGGTCTTCCCAAGGATCAGCAAACCATTCCAGGGACTCCCAGGGACACGACATCACAGCCCACATGGGCAGGAGTGGGCCTTCCCATCCGGGTCAGGCAGTGCACCCCTTTTCCAGAGTGTGCCCCCCAGCACCACAGAGTGGCCTTCCCAGCCATTGGGTTGATTTGTCATTGGTTCAAACCAAAGCTCCACATCTCCACAGAGCAAACCTTTCTCTGACAAGAGAAGGTGTGAGGTCAAGAGAATTCCCCTCCCCCTCCCCCCGACACACACACCCCCAGCTCCAAGTTGCTCCATGTGCTTCTGACAAACCACCAGAAAAAGATGGTGACAACTTGTGGTATTCACCTTTGGACTTTCCATGGAAAATAGCCCAAATCAGAGGGGTGCTGTGAGGTTCACTGGGAGAAGTCTGGAGCCAAGAAATGGCGGCAGCAGGTGGAACCCCCTATAGTGGAGATACTTATGAATCCACCAGGAAGGTGCTAATCAGCCCTTGCCCAGACAGCCTTCTATTTTAACTCTCATTTAGGGGAAAATTGGTGTTAGCCCCCCCTCCCCCACCAGTGGCTTTTTACGCTGTGGGGTCCCTCACGGCTCTAGAGGGCCTCGGACTCTCTGACGCTTTCCCTGCATTACTCAGCCTCCAGTACCCTGTAACCTTGAGCCAGTTCTCAGCAGGGGCGTGCCCTGGTGCTGGCTCCAAAGGTTCCTGCAGGAGAATGCCACTTCCTGGACCCAAGAAGGGCTTATTGTGGGCTTTCTCTTGCCACAGTTACTTGCTCGGCTGCCTTTTTGATCCAACACCCTCTGCCCTCTGCCCTGCTCCAGTCTCTCCTCCCCTGGGACCCTTGCCTACAGCTCTCTGCTCAGACCCATGTATGGAGCAGGAGTCGTGAGATTGAAGAGCAGCCTGGCATCACCTCCTCAGAAGTGCTGCAGGTGAGTGCCGTCAGCCCTGGTGCTTTCAACGCTCCAAGGCTACCAGCAACATCAGGAGCAGACAGAACGGGGGAGACAGAGACTCCTATCTTGGTGCCCCTGACACCTGCTGATTGAGCATGCCCAGTGAAGGCACCTGGCTGTTGGAGGACTCACCAATGCCTCCTTCTTTTTGACAGGTGAGAAGAAGAGGCCTTCATCATGGAACACAGCCCGCTGAAGAGTCCAGGTAACAGGGCAGACTTGTAGCAGGAAAAATCTTTGATTAAAAATGACCAGTCCCATCAAGTTAAACAAGACACAGAAAGCGGCCTTAGCGGGGATCATGGGTGGCATTTGGGGCAGAGATTTGGGGTATGGGGGCCAGAGAGATAGTGCAGTGGGTAGAGCACTTGCCTTGCTCACGACCTACCTGGGTTTGATTCCAGACAACCTAGATGATCCCCTGAGCCTGCCAAGACTGATCCTAGGGTCTAGAGCCGAGAGTAAACCCTGAGCGTTGCCAGGTCTGGCCTCCCCAAAACAAAACAAGACAAACAACAACAAAAAGACTCGGGTTGTAGAGAATGTTGCTCATTTTTATTTCTCATCTCTCTAGAAATTGGACACTTAACGATTTTCGTGGACCAAATGCTCCATGTGTTCTTTGGAGATGGTATTAAACACATTGGTCCAGAGAAGATGGGAGAATGTTTTCTTAATTTTATGTAAAATTTTTCCTACTAGCTCACTGCCTAAATTGTTAGTAGGGCTTATTTTAGGGGTCATATTATTGAAATAATTTTGCTCATGTTCACATAGCCCATTTGAGTCGCGAGAGGTATCAAGGTTTGGGGATGAAATCACTTAGAAATCAAATTATTCAATTCAAAAGCAAATTGTTTCTGCATACTTATTCAGAGCACCTATTCCCATTGAGTCTCTGTGCATCACATTATTGAAGATTCATAGATAAATACAGGAGTTATTGTTCTCCTTGAGCTTATCATTTTATTGAGATACTAAAGATAAGCTCATACAGTCAGACTGTTAGAGGAAACAGAATGTAGAGAAACATTTCATAGTCTCTGAAAGAGATAAAACATGCAAGTGTTTGGAATCCTGAGGGATTTGTGAGGAAGGCTTTTGAGTTCCATCCTAGAGGACATGTGGGACTTTCAAAGAGATGGAGAAGTCTCCTGGAAGAAAAGGCATGAATGGAAGCAATGGCGTGGGTTAGAGGCAGGAGCTAGAGAAAGGGAGTATGGCTCTGGAGAGGGGAAGGGTGGAAAGTGGAGGGGAAAGGAAGGAGGGAAGGAAGGGAAGGAAGGGAAGGGAGAGGAGAGGAGAGGAGAGGAGAGAGCTACAGAAGTACTGTGCTATCCCATTGCCATACTTTAATTTCCCATGGCAGTACAGGAGGACTATGATCAGATTTTCTTTTTTTAAATTTTTCTGGGGGTCACACCCAGCAATGCACAGGGGTTACTCCTGGATCTGGGCTCAGGAATTACCCGTGGCGGTGCTCAGGGGACCATATGGGATGCTGGGAATTGAACCTGGGTTGGCCGCGTGCAAGGCAAATGCCCTACCCACTGTGCTATTGCTCCAGCCCCCAGATTTTCTTTTTACATGCATTATACTTCCTTAAAATAGTTTTTATTGTGGTGTAACTGACATACCTTAAGCAGCGTAGCGTTGAAGTACAGTTTCATGAAGTTTAATATTTGTATGAGCCTGGGGACTATCCCATAAGAGTGACCGTATGATTCAGTCCCCAGAATTTTCTGATAGTGAAGATAAAGCTTTCCTGCTTCCTCCCTTTCTATTGTTCTCACCGGAGTTTTACATAAATGGCATGCATTTACTCAGCATATTTCTTTTAAGATTTATTGATTGACTTGCATGCTCTAAGAGTATTGCCAAGTCATATTCCAAGGAAGGAATTACTAAGTTGAACATCAGATACTTGTTGAACATCTGGATGGCTCGCAACCATTGACTCTTACAAATAAAGCTGCTAGGAACATTTACAATGAGTTTTTGTATGGTCCTATATTTCTTAACTGCTGACTAGTAATGCTCTTTTACTTTGAAGACAAATTTGAGGAAAAAGACAATTAACTGTTCTGAATTTTCTGGGTGATGGACATGCCAAAAGGTACTTGGAGAGTCATGCAATGCCAGGGGTCAAATATAGAGCCTCATATAGTATAAGAAATGTATTAAAATGCATTTCCTTCCCTGCTGCCTCCACTCCCTGACTTTCTTATTTCTGCATCAATGCATTTTACATACACATATGTGCCACGTTGCACAATACACTGCTTTTATTTTTGCTCAAACAGCCAATTTTTTTTTTTTTATTAGGGCTGGAGCGATAGCACAGCGGGTAGGGCGTTCGCCTTACAAGCGGCCAACATGGCCGACCCGAGTTCGATTCCTCCGCCCCTCTCGGAGAGCCCGGCAAGCTACCGAGAGTATTCGATATGCCAGACACAGTAACAACAAAGTCTCCAATGGAGACGTTACTGGGCCCGCTCGAGCAAATCGACGATCAACGGGAGGGCCTTTACCTTTACCTTTACCTAGTGAAACACCATGAGGTACAGTTGTAGACTTACAAGTTGTTGTGCTTGGGTTTCCGTTGTACAATGATCCAGTACCCATCCCTCCACCAGTGCCCATTTTCCACCACCACTGATCCCAGTACCCCTCCCACCGCCCTTATCCCCCCATCCCACCCTGCCTCTGTGGCATGGTACTCCCTTTTGTTCTCTCTCTCCTTTTGGGTGCTGTGGCCTGCGAAAGAGGCATCGAGTGGCAACATGTTCGGTCTAGAGTCTAGTCTCAGCATGCTTCTCCCATCCTGGGGGGATCCTTCCAATACCCCCCATTTAGTGCTCCCTTCTACATCTGGGCTGCCTTTACCCCTAGAGTGTGAAGCTGGCCTCCAAGCCATGGAGTAAACCTCCTGGTATTTATCTCCAGCTAATTAATTTTTAATGCTTTCAGTAATAATAATAACAGTTCACATACTGGTTTTTGCAGCTACAGCTTCAGGGTTCTTCACACAGTTGGACAAACCCACATTTCCTCCTACTGTCATTTCTCTGCCTGAAAGACTGTCTTGAACATTTCCTGATGAATTCTTTCCACTTTGGTATACCTGAAAATGTCTTTAAATTGCCTTCTTTTAAAAAGAGATTTAGAATTCTAGATAGAATTCTAGAATGACAGTTCTCCCCCAGTACTTTATGTAGGTTGTTGCCCTGGTTTCTGTTTGCATTGTTTATATTTTGTTTGCATTTGATTACCTTGTTTATTTCACCCTTATCTTTCTCATCTGTAGGCATTATGTCTTTCCCCCCCCCTCTGGCTTCCTTTTAAGGGTTTTCTTGAACATTGATTATGAGCAACTTGATTATAATATGCCTAGGTATAGTTTTCTTTTTGAATTTTAGTTGAGGATTCTGAACAGCTTGGATCACTGGGTTGAATCTTAAGTTGGTTTTTTTTTGTGGGGTGGAATGTTGTCTGTTTTCCCTGTTATTGATTTATTTAGGGGTCACACCCAGCAGTGCTCAGGCTATTATCAGCTCTGTGATTGTCACTTCTGTGGTCACTTCCAACAGGAATAAAAGACTGGTTGACTATACACAAATCGAGTGCCTTGCTTCCCTACCATATCTCTCTGGCCCCAGTTTAAGGTTTGGTTTAAATGTATAACAATTTCAGCATTATTTCTTCAGATAATCTCTGTTTCTTCCACTCTCACTTAGGGACTTGTATTATTTAGATATTAGAGCTCTTGAAATCATCCCCTTGTGCATTGGTGCCTTAGTAATGCTTTTGGATTTGGGCTTGGGTCACTGCATTTATTTTGACAGTTCCCTTTTCTAGGCTTTCAAGAGTACTGCTCTTGGTCTCACCTGGGGTATTCTTTTGTAGTCCCCCCCACTCCCAGAATCAATTCTCTTTCCATCTCTATCTAAGTGGATATTTTTAACATATATCTCATATCTCTATCTACCTTCTTTAATGTATAGACAAAGAGATTGTTTTAATGACCATCTCTACTAATGCTCAAAAGCTATGTCCAATCTAATCCAGTTTGGGTAGACTGAGACTTTTCACCACGTCATGTCTTGTTTGGTCACCTCTCTCTACCTGTCTGTCAATCATTGACAGTCACCATGCAGACCTTCACATTGCTGGGTGAAACTATCTTTGGTATTCCTATAAATCTCAGACTTTGCTCTGGGGTGGCATTACATTTATTGGGAAGAACAGGATCCTTTCAATACCTGCTTCTGTGATTTGTTAAGTGGTAGAGTTCTCAGACCTGGGCGGAAGTATTTGTTCAGGAAATAAATCCAGAAATTTGCCTAAGTCAACATAACTATTCAGCAAAGGAGTTAGAATTTTGTTCTGTCGGTTCCTTCTGGTTTTCTTTTCCTTTTTCTTTTTGGCGGGAGTGGTGGGGAGAAGGGGGTGGGCAGAAAGCAGAGAGAGTTGTAGAAGAGAAAGAGAGACTCGGAAGACAGCTACCTAGGAATTTACTGGATACTACATGATGACCTTCAGCTGTGCTGCCTAATCCTAATTCTATTTTCACTGCAAGAAGGCCCAGTTCTTTGATAAAGGCCATCTTTTCCAAAGTCACAGATAAACTAGGAGAATAACTTGACTGTGAAAGCCAGACCAAATGCTGTCTCCCTCCCCCCTCCCCTCTCTCTCTTGAGTTTTTGAGCCACACCCAGTGATGCTCAGGGTTCTCCTGGCTCTGCACTCAGGGATCACTCCTAGTGGGCTCAGGGAACCACACAGGATGCCTGGGATAGAGTCTGGACTGGCTGCATGAAAGGCAAGTGATCTGACTATGGGTTAAGCTATGTCTTAATACTTCCCTGCACTCAGGAATTACTCTTGTTGGTGCTGGGGAACCAGATGGGATGCTGGGGGTCGAACCCAGGTGGGCTGCATGCATGGCAAATGCCTTACCTACTGCACTATGGCTCCAGTCCCAAAACTGCCCATATTTCTAGATGTAAAGAGACACAGTTAACATCTTGGAGAGCAATCTTTAATCACTTCTGCCAATTCATTTGCAGTAGCAGGTGGTGTCACTTCTGTTTGCCAAGCCAAAGAGCAAGGCTGAATCATCTGGTTCCTGAGTATGATACTTCAATAGACACAGACACCAACTTTTGCTCCCTGGAGAGATCCAAGGCCTTGTTCTGGAAACAAAAAACCAGACCGGGCTGAATGATGGCACTTGGAGGCATCTGAAAGGAGGTCCCAGCTGCAGATGACTAAGAACCCCCCACTGTCATCTGGGGCAGTGTCATCTTCTTTTCCTGCTCTATTTGAATTGTCCTTTCCCATAGCTGAATAATTTGAAGCTTTTCCCAGAGATAAACAGTGTTTCTTTCATGTGAAGCTGCTCCTCTCAGAAACGACAAACAGCAAGCTGAGTCCTGTTCGCTTTCTCTTATTAGGCAAACAATTTGCATTTTACAATGAAAATGAAGTCTGCAAACAAGATTTCTTTATTAAATCACCACCTCCCGGGCTTCTCACTTCTTTAGTAAGTATTCTTCATGATTGAAGAGGTCTCCCACCAGCCTCATGTTTTTGGTTTTGGTGTTTTTTTTTTAAATACTTGCTCTTCCTCTGAAATTTAACTGAGATACAAAACATTTTAATTTTTCAGACGTCATGGAAGAAGCGGTTTTTTGTCCTGTCCAAGAATGGGAGTAATAGCTACAGCCTTTCCTATTACAAAGACCATCATCACCGAGGTGTGATTGAAATTGATGGGTGTGTATTCACCAGAGAAACCCTTTTATCTATTGGAACAAATAAAAGCAAGTCAAGTATTAATAAATTATATTGAAAATTGAAGTTTAAATCATTAATGAAATGTCCAAAGACCACACTTATAAATATGTGTTGATTAAAAAAAGTTATAGTAGTGAAATGTAGTACAAAGAGGGTTAAATGCTTAGATCATAATATAAATTATAATCAATACATTGTGAATTAATACATATTCTGACTATTCATAATTTTGCGGGTGTTAGCAAAAATAATTTATGGGTGAGATAGAACAAATGCAATTATCATTACATAAAGCCAAGAATTTTTTTTTTACTTTTTAAAGTTATTGTTTATTTTTATTCTTTTTCTTTTTTCTTTTTTTAAAATTTTTATTAGTGAAACACCATGAGGTACAGTTATAGACTTACAGATTTTTGTGCTTGGGTTTCAGTTATACAATGATCAAGTACCCATCCTCCACCAGTGCCCATTCTCCACCACCACTAATCCCAGTATCCCTCCCACCCCCAACCCCCCCCCCCCATCCTACCCTGCCTCTGTGGCAGGGCACTCCCTTTTGTTCTTCCTCTCCTTTTGGGTGCTGTGGTTTGCAAGAGAAATTGAGTGGCAATCATGTTCGGTCTATAGTATACTTTCAGCATGCATCTCCCATCCTGGGAGGATCTTCCCAGCACCCTTTATTTGGTGCTCCCTTTTCTATCTGAGCTGCCTTTACCCCTAGAGTGTGAGGCTGGCCTCCAAGCCATGGAATAAACCTCCTGGTATTTATCTCGGCTATTCTTGGGTATTAGTCTCCTATTTTGTTACTTTATGTTCCCCAGGTGAATGCAATCTTTCTATGTCTGTCCCTCTATTTCTGACTCATAAGCCAATAAATATTTTAAGAACATTTATATTAGCTCCCTTTGTCTTTCTCCAAATAAGTTGATATCCAAGTACTTGGAAGACCCAATTTGTGGATCCAAGAATTCAATTCAGGTTTAAGCTTTTGATTTAAATTTCAGATAGAACACAGTCTTTCTAAGGAGTGACAAACCCTCCCTAAACTTGCTCGAGGTAAAGGTAAAGGCCCTCCCGTTGATCGTCGATTTGCTCGAGCGGGCCCAGTAACGTCTCCATTGGAGACTTTGTTGTTACTGTGTCTGGCATATCCAATACTCTCGGTAGCTTATTTTCTAAAATTATAAAACAAGCTTCAAAATATTGAGAAAACAGTTCTAGTTTTATTCCAACTGAATCCTAATAGAAGGCATTCATAATTTTTTATTCTAAGTTTGTATTCGCATATGTCCAATACTTTCTGTCCAACAGGAATTCCATTATAGAAGTTGGCATAAGTAATGAGGAGAAACTGCAGTCTGTACAGAAGATGTTCCATTGCCAGCCTGAGGAGGTAATGTCCATCAGAACCACCAAGAGGGACTACTTCCTCATTAACCACGACAGGTAAGTGATAAGGGAGCCCTGGGTGTGTCCTGCATGCAAGACAAAAACAAGGAAGCACCCACTTTGAGACTATCGAAAGGAAAACTGCCATGAACTGAACACCTTGGCCACAATCTAGAAGACCAGGTTGGCAATCTTCATAGTTGTTGAAATAGCTTCAAAAGTCATGGTATTTGTTTCCTAGGACCACCAATAGCAAAGTCAAACTGTCTGCCTGTGGTGACTGAGAATAGAAATAAATTCATCATCTCCTAGTGCTGGGGATGAGGGGTCCGCATTCAGGCTACTTCAGTGGGCCAACTTTCTCTGCAGGTGCTAGGGAAGAGTTGTTCCCAGCTTCCCTCTAACAACTGCTGGCAGCATAATAATTTGCGGCTGCATGAGCCCAGAGTTCACACGACATCCTGCCTGTGTCTGCGCCTCTGCACCCAAATGTCTTAGAGTCCATAGTCCTGTGGATTCGGGAATCCATTTATGTTGGTGTAACCTCACCTGAACCAATTACGCTTGCAGTGTACAAATACACTCAACTTCAATAGAAGTCACATTCTCGGGTCCTAGGGCTCAGTGGATCAGTATATGAATTGGGGAGAAGGGACGAGGGATGCAATTCAAGTCATGAGTTACTATCATCCCAGAACATTCCATGGGAAGGAATCCAATAGACAAGCGGGAACACCAGTCATCTGTACTGAGGAGGAACTGTGCCTATCTGAGAAGACACCTCTGTCTTTAAGAGGAGTTCCAGGTGTTAGCCCAGGTGCCTGGTGGATTGATTCCTTCAGGATGCCTGCTTGTTGGACAGAGGCTGACCTGGGCAAGCAATCTTAACAGGAGGGCTGGTGAACACTAACACTGGAGCTTGCAGAAACTTGATGTTTCACATCAACCTCTAGGTGGAAAGAAGCTGCTCAAGCAGCAAAGCCTGCCAACATCCCTTCTCCTTTGACTCTTTTCTCCCCAGTTCTTGGTACTTTCCTCCCAAAGTGGGCATGAGGACAAATGCCTCACTGTGGAGGTGATAAGAAGTTAGTGTGTCATTTGAGCTGGCTGAGGACAAAAAGAAAAAAAATCTGATTTCCTTGGTATCTGCTCCCATTACCTGTTTTGATCTTCCTACAATAATCCTTCTCTGCCTCCAAAAGCTTTCAGGCCCCATGACTGCCAAATGCCAACTTAAAATTTATTTCTTTTCATAGGGAGAAGATTAAAGAGTGGGTCTCCTTCATGTCAACTGTGAGCCGCTGGGAATTAAAAGCAGCAGTCCAGAATACAGAGGTGACTATAGCAAGTAAAATAGCAGGGTAATCAGAAATGCCTGCTTTCACTAGGAAACAATGGTGTCTTTTTCCTCCCTTAGCAATTGGCATGAATATAAGTAATCAATAAGTGAGGAAATGGTAGATTTGTTATTTTTGTGGCTAACTATAAGAATAAATACTTTTGTATTTTGCAAGGGAGCTAAAATGCAATTAGTTCAGATTTGCATTATTGGGATAGGAGGAATCAAAGTGAACTGTAGCAGTTTTTAAAAATAGTAGCTGAAATAATATTTTCCATTATTGCTATTCAAGGTACTTAACAGCTACCTTTCAAGTGACTAAGTCAGGGTGGGTTCTGTAAAAATGATTTCCATCTCTCTCCCACGTTCAATATAATGTGTCTTGAAGGGCAGTGCTCGGAGTTTAAGTTGTTGGTTGCATTTGTAAGAATCTGGGCTAATTATCTCACCTTCTTTCTGAAGGCACATGTTTGTAAAGGAAACTTTTGGTCTTTGGGTATCATTTGGACTGGTTTTCTAGGGTGTCCAGTCCTTACTATCATAAAAGCAGAGGGTGGAAGAGAGGAAAAGGCAAGATGTGACTAAAGAGTAGAGCCCAAGCTGGTGGGGTACAGAGCAGAGGAGAGTAGAGTAGGAACTCAGGGTGGCTATGAAGGCTAGACCAAAAGTTTTGCTTAGAAACAGGAAGGAGATAAGGTCGTGAGAAAGTGCTGGTTGGGTAAGACTAGAGGTAGCAGTGTTGAGGATGTGGCTTCATTCTAGATAAGTGCTCCAATGGCCTCCTAACCTCCCTCTTCCTGTTCACCTGCAGGAATTCTCCATGGATAACTACAGGTGTTTGTCAGCCCCTCTCAGCCCTCCAAGTCCCTTGAACTCGACAGACAGTGCCAAATTCTACTCGTATAGAAGTGGCCTTCCAGGCAAGGTACTGAGTGCCTCCTCATCCTCTCACCAGTTGCCGTGCCTGGGAGCCAGCTAATCCTTCAAAAGTCTTACCAACACGTTGAGCCCCTTCCTCAAGCCTGTGGCTCCTACTCACTGATTTGTGGTCTCAGCGTTTATCCAGCATTTTGTGTTCTCCATACCACGGATATACCTTTTAGTTTGTGTTCTAGCCTCAGATATAAGCAAATATCTTGGGATTTCTCCTCCGTATGCAACTGGTAATGTTGGGCTGATAGACCAAACTTCACTGCTGGAAACAGAAGTCTGGCAACCTTTCCCTTTCTTGCACATGCAGGACGCAGATGACCTCTATAAAAGGTTTCCCCAGACACCACTAAATTTCCTGACACCCCAATTAGGGCCCTCCAGCAAAGGCAGAATTCATATTCATTTCCTACATTTACCCAGCTTGCTTTGTGCGGTGTAAAGTGTGTGTGTGTGTGTGTGTGTGTGTGTGTGTGTGTGTAAGAGAGAGAAGAGAGAGCAAGATGAGAGTGAGGGGGGGGGGGGCTTCATCTTTATTTCCAAAGAGAGACATTTAAGAAAACAGAACAAAACAAAAAAATCTTCTTTGTCCCTTGAAAGTGAGTGACAGCTTTACTCCCCACCTCTTGGTCCTCTTTGGTTTTACAGCCTTTTAACTTTGGATATTAGCTATAAATGGGCTGTGTGGTTTTTATTCTCTCACAAATACTATTTGTTCCCTAGAGCCGTAAGCATTGGCTTTCCTTTCTCCCTGGATAGCAAACACATCTAAACACTGTGTTGCCTTCAGTGTTATCTAGTTGGGAACTCTCCAACTCTTTTAAAAGCATTGTGTAGCCTGTCAAATGCCAGGCCAGATACCTCATTTCGTGTTTGTGGGCAAGGTGGTAGCACGCAGAGTGGAAAAGATGAATGTTTTCAGGAAATGCTTCTGGCTTTTCACTTATGAGATCTGGTCTCTTACATAACACTCTTGGTCCTCTTGTACTTATACCCTATTACAATTCAGTGATTTTTTAAAAATCAGCTTTGTTTGAGTACCATTCACTTTAGGGTGTTGTTGTTATGATGGAATAATATGGAAACCCTTTCTCACCCCATCATGACCTGGATCCAAGAGTCTAGAGCTAGAAAAATAGACACACTTAAATATATCTATTTTATTTATTTATTTATCTTTTATTTATCTTTTGGGGTCACACCCAGCGATGCTCAGGGGTTACTCCTGGCTCTGCACTCAAGAACTACTCCTGGTGTTCAGGGTACCATATGGGATGACAGGAATTGAACCCAGGTCACCCAAATGCAAGGCAAATATCCTATTCACTATACTATCACTCCAGCCTCAATATCTCTGTTTTCAAATCTCTTCCTTTCAGTGGCTTTCTAGAGAACATCTAGAGTCTTTTCAAAAACCCCTGCTCTAAAGCATTGTTTTGGAAGGATTAAATTGTATTATGATCATTTTTCTCCCATGAAAAACAGTACTCCCCAAGTAGAGTGTCTTATACTTGTTGGGTGGGGGAGAAAGCAGTGATCTGTTGGACCTGGATCACCTTAAAGTCTGTAATTTAGATGATCATATGATCCATGCTGCAAAATTGTATTGCTATGGAAATGACAGAGGTGAGTGATTAAAATTCAAAAAGAAATATTGAATGAAAGGAGGAAAGATACAGGATCTTGATTCTGGAATAATTGGCTTCTTCTCAGATGACATAGGGTGAAAATAGGAAAAAGATGGCATGAAAAACTGTGGCCAAGCTTCGAGGATTAAAATGCCACCCAATGGAGAAATCTGTTTCTTCAGAGTTACAGGTCTCCAAAGTAAAGTCTGGAATAGAAACATTTTTACAGTATTCATGATGACCCAAATTCAAGAGGCAAGTTCATATTACATGGGCTTTTTGGAGACCATGGGAGAACCGTTGATTTTTTCAATTCAATTCATTTACTATGAATTTTCCAGAAAGTTTACAGTTTAATTTCATTTGCAAAGAAAAAGACAAACATTAACTCTACTTTTATTTTTTATTTAGCATGTAACTGGAGGTCCTCCGGAATCCAGACAAGATTATCCAATATATGAATTCTTATCAAAGACCGATCAAGACAATGAAGAAGAGAATTATTATTCTATTCCTCGAAACATTCCTTTAGAGGTAACCCCTTCCATTTTTTAATCACGTCTTTCTTCTACAAATATTTACTGAACCCCTCCCATCCCCTCTTGCTGAGACTCCAGTCTGGGGTCTGCTCGAACACAAAGGTGAATCAGACATAGGGGATGTGCTTTCCAGTGCTGATGTTGGAATAGAAGCCAACCATGATCCAAGGTGTTGAAAGGTTCTGAGATGAAGAGAGATCCTTATAACATGCACATGAGACAACTGGAGTGCAAGAAAGGTTTCCAAACAGAAAACCAGGGGAATATCCACAGAGATTATATTTTAATTTATTTGACAAAGAAATTTTGAATTCCAGAGTCAACAAATTTATGAGCAGAAAGAATAATCTGAGCCAAGGACTTTGGGTGATCAATTATTCTGCATATTAACCAACCTATTGATTATTGGGAGCCAAATCCACCACTGCCTTCTGTGTGCTTGGTACCATGCTATAGTTAACCTGCGAGTTATAATAAATGACCTGACATCTTACGTACCTTCAGAGCCCACAGTGTTGTCTATTGCCACATGCTAATACTAACCAAGAACATTGGTCACAGAGCAATGGAAGGAAAAGTAAAAATACGAATTTTCTCTTCCTGTTGGAGAGAATTAGAACTTAGAGACTAAATAGCACTGGATATGTATACAGTAAATAGGTCAGTTGGTTGTAACTAGATTAAACATGATGGAAAATAGGAAAGAGTGGGAGTCAGAATGATGGGTCTTGCATTCCAAGTTACTTTCATTCTATAGGCCGCACAGCGACTAAGATGGCTTCTGAATTGAGAGAAGTGGCAAAATTTAGAATATCTCCCAGTAATATTTACCCAGGTCTGTATTTGAGGTGGATGATTAACTAGAATGAAAATGGAGTTAACATGACAAAAGGAATGAGATGGTGAGGGGTCTAGAGGGTTACAGTGCTTCCTAATTGCTGGTTTTCTACCAGATAATGACAGATACTGGGAGTATATGGGATCACACAAGTTCTGGAAATACTGTGTTTCATTAAGTTTAATAAACTTCTTAATTCAGAATTGATTCTCAGAGCCTTTAGCACGCATCATACAAGACACAGTGTCTCCCAAGCTCTTGACCACAGGATCTTCTTTTATTCTCGCGTCTCCAGACCTACAGGCTAGATGACTATTCTTTCATTAAGGTTCAGCTAATCAGTCAGGCTCTGAGCATTAACTATATGCTGACATTTGCTACGTATTTTATAAGAGGCAAAGTCTAGAAAGAAAGATAAAACTAACCTAAAAGAAGAAGATACAAGATAAAATCAGGTACAAGAGTGTACAGAAGAAGAATTCCAAAGAAAAGACAGATGGGGGTGGAGTGAGGGTGGGAGCTGAGGCAGTCTTAGGAGGACGTAGGACCTCAGCCAGGTCTGAACATAACTTCATGAGACAGAAGAGTGGGGGAGGAAGCTTGGATGAGAATGGACGAGGGACACTTTGATGCTGGAAGTTTAGAATATTAACTTGACTGATGTGAAGGAGTCCTATGATGGGTTAATGATTAATTGGTGAGAAAGTCCTTTAAGGTTTTTTTTTTTTTTTTTGCTTTTTGGATCACACCCAGCGATGCACAGGGGTTACTCCTGGCTCTGCATTCAGGAATTATTCCTGGCGGTGCTCAGGGGACCATATGGGATGCTGGGAACCGAACCCAGGTCGGCTACGTGCAAGGCAAACGCCCTACCGGCTGTGCTATCGCTCCAGCCCCACCTTCAAGTTTTTGAGTAACCCATTGCCCACATTTCTTTACTTTCAAGAAACTCTTCGACACCTTCCCAAAGGCACTGTTTTAGAACATTTTCAACTGCTAGGAACCAATGAGATGCTTGGGAGTAGAATCACTCATTCCAGGGCCAGCTTTGAGTATTTGACCCAACCAAGTGATAAAATTCTGCAGTAGCACTGCATAGGGGGAAAAGAACCTATGTATTTAAGTTTCCAGGATAAAATGTTAAAAAGTGTATAGAAAATTAGTACAAGAAAAAACTGTATCAGGAATGTGTGGAATCCAGAGGCAAAAACAGACTTATAGTCAGCTAGAAAGTATATGGTTTAGGGTTCAGTGTTCTGAATGAAAACACTGCTTATCTGACAGTGAATGTGCTTATTATTTTAGAACCCAGAGCCTTAGGGAAGGGACCTGGCTAACTGGTAGACCTACAGATTTATGCTATTCCTTTTGTCTCTAGGTGGATAAAATACATGCTGAAAATGACATTGATAAATCCATTAATCCTGATAGCCCAGAGATCTTAAGGAGACTTGAACCAATTTACATGTCAATGAAATCCTGGTAAGTAATGTGGCTATGTAAGGTAAAGGTAAAGGTAAAGGCCCTCCCGTTGATCGTCGATTTGCTCGAGCGGGCCCAGTAACGTCTCCATTGGAGACTTTGTTGTTACTGTGTTTGGCATATCAAATATGACACGGGGAGCTTGCCAGGCTCTGTCGTGCGGGTGAGATACTCTCGGTAGCTTGCCGGGCTCTCCGAGAGGGGCGGAGGAATCGAACTCGGGTCGGCCATGTTGGCCGTTTGTAAGGCGAACGCCCTACCGCTGTGCTATCACTCCAGCCCATGTGGCTATGTATCAAACACAAATTTTAGCTAACATACTGCTATAGAACAATTTTGTCAGTTCACTAAACTCATGGCTATAATTAATAAAAAGCATTTCCAGAGACCGAGTCTATATATGATTCAGTTACCTCAAAACAAGAAAAAGTGGGGAGGGAGGGAGAGAGGGAGGGAGGGAAGGAAGGAGAGAGGGAGGGAGGGAGGGGGGAGGAGAGACAGAGACAGAGACAGAGACAGAGAGACAGAGAAGAAAAGTGCCTGCTATAGCGGTAGGGACAGGCCATGGCAGAGTGGAAGGAAAACTGACTGGGAACATTGGGGACATTAGAACACTATATGACTGAAACCCAATAATAAACAACTTTGTAACTGTGTATCTCACTATGATTCCATTTGAAAATAAATTATAACAAGAAGAAAGAAAGAAAGAAAGAAAGAAAGAAAGAAAGAAAGAAAGAAAGGGTGGGGAAACTTGCAGAGAGCCCTTAGACCATTTTCTGTCTCCTGAGGGCATTGTTTCCAAATTTGCATTTCATCTCTCACACTCACTTCCTCCAGATCCATTTTCAGGAAAGTGAGCTGTAGTTGAGTCTAACTGTGACTGTGACTCTGATGGCAGCACAGACCTCAAGACACAATTTGCTCTCACACAGCTCTTCGCTCCTTAAATCCTGTCCCCACACACATGGGGCAACAAGACAGGCTAAAACAAAGCCTATTTAAACTTCTTATACCCTAGTTTTTCCCAAGACGAGGCCCGTCAGTCTGCTGGCAGCCAAGAGGAGACCCAGAGCCTTCCAGAGACTCGACCTGAGCCATCTCACCCGCAAGAAGAAGGTTCAGGAAGAGATGTGCATCTGTGCCCTCCCAGTCCCGAAGCAGAGACAAAGGGGCCAGCCCCACCAACTGTGGTGCAGTTGTCAATACTGATCAAGTAAAGTTCTCATTTTTAAAACTTTATGGTCCCAGAGAGCTAAGCAAGCTTCCGGTCTTACTCAGATTTCACATTACCAACCCATTCCTAGACATTTCCATGTAAGCCAAGAATCTGACCAGCTCCCTTCTGATGCAGTGACCAGTGACAGCAGTAGAGTCACAGCTGCCGCAGGGATGTGGGAGGTATTTGCTTGTCTTTCTGGTTTTGACCACTCTGACCTAAGCAGATATGGATATGCAAGTCCCAGGAAAGCCAGTGGGGAATGTTTCGGTTGGGAGGGCTGCCAAGAACACTTGAGATTTTCTTGATTTTTAACTGTCACTTCTGTGGAATCATTCTGGTTGAGAAACGTACATACCGTCATGATCCCAGCAGAATAATCAACTTAATCCGCATTTCCTTCCCTTCTTACTGGCCACCATCCACTGTCACTTCCCAAGAGGATTGATGAGAACATGAATGAGGACTTCTCAGTATCTTAATTGCATGTTCTTCTCCAAATGCTTTGCATGGTTTCTTGTTAGAAAATATCACCTCTGATGCAGGAGGCCATAATCTCCTGGAAAGATGCAGTTCAGGTTCACACCATCTTGGAGTTTGGAGTTATACTCACCCCTGAACTTTGGGTGTACACTCTTTTCCCTTTAACTGATGGGAACTCTCCATTCTGGAATTGCCTGTATCCCAGCTGGGGTGCATGTGCACGCGCGCACGCGTGTGTGTGTCTCTGTGTGTGTGATGTGTAACTTTCTTCCTTCTTTTTATGTTCCTCTTCTTTCCCCTACCCTATCCTCTCCCCTACTCTTCCCTGCCTTTCTCTTGCCTGTCTTCCCTCTCCTTCCCTCCTCTACCTCCCCTCCCCTCCTCCTTCATCTCCTCTTCCCTTCCTTTATTCTCCTCTCCTCTCCTCTCCTCTCCTCTCCTCTCCTCTCCTCTCCTCTCCTCTCCTCTCCTCTCCTCTCCTCTCCTCTCCTCTCCTCTCCCCTCCCCTCCCCTCCCCTCCCCTCCCCTCCCCTCCATTCCTCTCCTCTTCCCTTCTGTCTATATTTACTAAATAAAAATATTTACACCACACACACACACACACACACACAGACACACACACCAGTTCAGGGCCAGAGAGCTCCCTATCTGACTTTCATTCCCATCTTCTTCCCAGTAACATCACCGATGAGAGCAAAGTGGAGAAACTGAACGTGTACCTTTCTATTGCTGACATCAGCAATTGTCTTTCTTTCGTCGAAGCTGCAGGACAGATATGGTAGGTCGAAGATTTGAGAGTTATTGATTGTCCTTGGGATTGGCATATAGAGAGAAAATAATTAGGTCTTGAAACAACGGCATGGCAAGACTGGCCCGAGAACTTGAAACTTTAAGTTGCAATTTTCCAAAAAGGTTTTTGACTAAGCAGAAATCAGAGTTTTGTTACGTGAGAGAGTCAGCAGTAGCTAACTGAAGACCAAAAAATGCAGAAAACAGTTATTTATTTTTGTATTTATTTTTTAACCACACTCAGAGGTGTTCAGGGTTTACTCCTTGGCTCTGCACTCAGGGATCATTTCTGGTGGCTTTGGAGGACCAAATGGGCTGCCAGAGATTGAACCTGGGTCAGTTGTGTAACAAGGCAAGCAAACACCCTAACCACTGAACTATCTTTCTATTTCTTTAAAAAAATTTTTTAATTGCATATGCATGACATAAACCATTACAAAGCTGTTCATGATTGGGTTTTAGTCATACAATGGTTCAACACCCGTCCCTCCACCAATGTCCCTTATTTCCCTCCCTCCCCCCCCCCCAACACCCCCATATGCCCCAGCCTGGCAGGCACTTTTCCTTCTTTCTCTCTCCTTTTGTGCATTCATGATTTGCAACACAAATACTGAGAGGGCATCGTGTTTGTTCAGGGCCTTCAGTATTTTTATTGGGAAGATAAGGCTGGAGTAGCTTTTTTAACTGGGTGGCAGCTTTGGGGTGTGGCTGTGACTGCCAAGGCTTCTGGAAATACAAGGAGATGGGAGGTAGCCCATCCCTACCCCAAGAAAACCTGAAGATTTCAGTCACCAAACCCACATACCTGAATTTTCAACAGGTTAATATCTTGGTGAGGTCCAGCCTGAGACAGTGGAGTCCAGCCGAGGGCATGGCGGCAATTTTTGATTGTGGGAGCAAGTGGCTGCCAGGGGCTCTGCTTCGGTGGGCACCAGGTTGACCCAACCCCTCCAGTTTACCCTGGTCTGTTCAGTCTCGTGTGGGTTCATGATTAACTGAAGCTTTTGAACTCTTTCAAGATTTATTTATAGGTTTCTGAAACAAGGTAGATAATAAGCTTATATAGCTGAGCAGGAGGTGATTTGCGGTTGTGGCTCCGAAACCACAAACCACAAACCATATACCAAACTTTTGGCTGTTTAATTTCTCAGGAAACTCAGTCCCAAGTTGTTGGGGGTATAGCCAGAGGCACAACAGCAATTTTGGGCTCTCAGAAAGTCTGAAGGCACCCTTAGGCTGCTGATGCACTTGCCCCCATGGATACAGGTTGATCCGCTGGTGGCACTGTGCTCCTTTATGTCTTAAAAGTGAGGGAAAGTGGGAATACTGATGGTGCTAGAAGACAGCTGCCGAGCAGTGCACATGGGTTGTTGGTGAAGTTAGCGCCTGCACCAAGAATCAAAGATACCAAAGCAAAAGGCATAGAGGATCATACACTTCCAGACCCAGCAATAAAAACTGCCCAGCAGGAACTCGGACACAAAGATCATGTAGAAGATGGTTACTGGTTATTGGCATCTACAGTCTTTTTTAAAGACTTTGCAATTCATTTTGGTAGAAGAATATTTTTGTTCTATAAGGAAAGAAAGCCCTTAAATGTGAAGTAAATACTTCTCAAAGGAGATTAGAAAAGTTACTGCTGCACAAACGATACTTGTCATGGTCAGAGAGGTAGCTCAGTGGGAAGAGCCCCTGATTTACATGTGGGACACCTGGATTCCATCCCCAGCATTGCATGGTCCCCCAAGCACTGCTGAGGAAAATCCTTGAGCACAGAGCCAAGAGTTGCCCCTGAGTACCATTGGTGTGATCTTACAAAAACAAAGCCAAAACAAACAAAACCACACACAAAAACACATTTGTCCTTTAAATTCTCGGGTATGGAGTGATAGAACAGTGGGTAGTGAATTTGTCTTGCATGTGGCCGACCCGGGTTCGATTCCCAGCATCCCATGTGGTCGAGCACCGCCAGGAGTAATTCCTGAGTGCAGAGCCAGGAGTAACCCCTGTGCATCGCTGAATGTGACCCAAAAAAGCAATAAATAAATAAACAAATAAATTCTCTAATAGGAACCAAACCACACCTTCCTTTTTTCCCCCTAAATTTCTCACAATTCAATAAGTTTATATAAATATTTGGCTGAAACAATAGAATTTTCTGTGTCTCAGTTTGCTTATTCATTCATTTATTCTTTATTTTTCCTTGTTGGGGACTCTCTCGGCTGTACTCAGAGACCATCTGGTGCCTGGGATTGTACTGAACCCAGGGCTTCCACATGCAAAGTTTTTGCTCTAGTCTTTGGCCCTCATTAGTTAATTAATTTATTTACTTGCTCTTCTTTGTAGAGTCATTCTGTAGTTCACTTTCTCTGAGCACTTACTGAGCATCTTTTATTTCTAGTTATGATTTCTTTAAAGATGATAGCATGTTTCCAGAGTATCATAGCTCAGTGGGGGAAAAATAGTCACACAAGCTAGTAAAAATAAAAGGTGTTTTCCTTTAATACACAATGAGCGAGCTGCTCATGTATCAACAGAAGCTCTGAGCAAGACAGACTACATTCATTTCAAGTGAAGGGAGTGACATTTAGGAGAACTTTGTAGAGATGGTCTGGTTGGCAACAGGTTTGGCAGAAGCTCAGGCTCCAGTGGAGGGATCGAGGAAAGAATGTTCTAGATAGAACAAGGCAGCTCTCTGAAGAAACCAGTGACCCTAAACTTGGGGTGGGCCAGAGAGAGATGCACCCCTGTGCATGTCCCCGTGGTGTCCTGGGCACCCAGCGAGCGAGTAAGGCTTCCCCCCTGGCAGGATTTCTCTGTCCTCTGCAGTGTGGCTCAGTGGGAAGGCCCCGCGCACCTGGGATGCATATTTTTCCACGGAGATCACCTGTTGGCTGTGAATGACCTGGTCCCCAGGAGCCTGGAGGAAGTGTCCCTGTTTCTCAGCCGGTGTGTCCAGAAGGCGGTGAGTCCTGCTGACAGCAGCCCAGGGCAGGGGAAGTCAATGCCTCAGGGACCAGATCAAGATTGAGGGTGGCACCTGAGAAGAACTCAGAAAAGAAAGGACCCTTTGTTCCTGAGCCACTGATGTCACGAGGACCGAGTGTAAGTCACACGATGAGGGCAGATAGCAGGTGCTCCCTTTGGGAGCTCACATCGAGGACAATTGGGGGAGAATGCAGGTCTAGGTAATAAAGCTGTGGGCTTTGGGACCACAGACCCGAACTGATGTGCAATAGTAGGTTCGCAGTGGCATCCGGCCAACTCAGTGCTCATGGCCCACTTCCTTCCATGCACGTATGCCCAGTTTTCTGCAAAACTAGGAATAATGAGGATATGCAATGGGAAAATCCACATAAAACATGCTGACAACAGTGTCTAGCACATATTAGAGGTCCAATAAACTGCTATTAAAATACTTCCTGCTTTAAATTCTCGGGGCCAGAGGGATAGCACAGTGGGTAAGGCGTTTGCCTTGCATGCGGCGACCTGGGTTCGATTCCTCTGTCCCTCTCAGAGACCCCGGAAGCTACAGAGAGTATCCTGCCCACATGGCAGAGCCCCACAAACTCCCCAAGGCATATTCGATTTGCCAAAAAACAGTAACAAGTCTCAGAATGGAGGTACTACTGGTACCGGTTCCAGCCTATCCATGAACAAGTGTTACAATGATACAATTATTGACTAAAGAATTTCAGCAGCCTCCCACCTCCACCCCTGTTTACCCACTTTTATTGAGGTATTGTAATTTACAATCTTGTTAACAATAGCTTCATGTATACATTGTTGCAACACCACCCCATTTCCCTCCACCATTGCCCCAGGTGTCTTGGAGGTGGTGTTTTTTCTCTAAGGCTTTAAAGACTGGGTAGGAGTTTTCCCAGGGACCCAATTCTGTGTTCCCCACACTGTTCCATTTCATCCTCCAAACCCTTCTGAAAATTACCAAGCAATACTCTGCCTCAAAGATCCAGCACCTGAGCCAATAATGCTTACCTTCTTCCTTCGCTAGCCTTCAGGTGAGAGAGAGAAGTGGTATTGGGTGAAGGGATCATCAGAGGAGAGAATTAAAGGTTCTAGGGTTTTTCTTTTCTTTTTTGGTTTCTTTGGGTCACACCTGGTGATGCTCAGTGGTTACTCCTGGCTCTGCACACAGGAATTAATTTTTGGTGGTACTTGGAGAACCATTCAGGATGCCAGGAAAGCGCCCTACTCACTGTCCTTTCACTCTGGTCCCTAGAGTAAGAGATTTTAAAGGAGGAGGTGGTCTGTGTCCAAGGCTGGGGGGTGGGTGGGAGGGAGTTGCTAGATTGCAGGAGAAATGCATTAAATTTCAGTTTCCTCCCAATTTCATCTAGGGCAGCTCCTTCTGGTAATCTCATTAGGAATCCCCAGTTTCTTTTTTTAAAATTTTTATTCCAGTTTTATTCATCCCAGTATATATATTTTTATTTACAAGAAGTAATTTTATTTATTTATTTATTTATTTTATTTTATTGAATCACCGTGAGATACAGCTACAAGCTTTCATGTTTGAGTTTCAATCATACAATGTTCAAGCACCCATCCCTCCATCAGTTCACTTTACCCACCGCCAATCTCTCCAGTATACCCCCCCTTTCCCACCCTCCCCCTGCCTCCCTGGCAGACAATTTCCCACATATTCTCTCTCTAATTTTGGGCATTATGGTTTGCAACGCAGATACCAAGAGACCATCACTTTTGGTCCTTTATATACTTTCAGCACATATCTCCCAACCCGACCAATCCTTCCAACCATCATTTTCTTGGTGATCCCTTCTCCATTCCAGCTGCCTTGTCCCACACCTCATGAGGCAGGCTTCCAACTATGGAGCAATCTTCCTGGCCTTTTATCTACTGTCCTTGGGTATCAGTCTCATGTTATGTTATTTTATACCCCACAAATAAGTGCAGTCCTTCTATGTCTGTCCCTCTCTTTCTGACTCATTTAGGATCCCCAGTTTCAAGAGGAAACTTCATTCTAGCTATAACTGGACACTTTGGGGCACATCCCATAGGCTTTGGGTGCCCACAGAAGTTGGTAGTCGGGACTAAAAGCCCATTTTCTTCCCATGGCCCTGATATTGTTGTTCGAGAGCGTGTGAACCCGGTCCACCTGAGGAGCCTCCTAAACATAGCCTTTAGTGACTTATTCTTCTTTCTTGTGTTCAGAAAGTCAAACTCACCATTGGACGGATCCAGAACTCAGAGAAATTCCATGCTCAGTCTTGCACCTGCCCCCAGAAATACAAGGCGGCTGTATCTCTTGAACTGGATGCCCCGAGATTGCCCAGGATCCCTCGGAGGAATCCAGCCATTCGAAAGGGTTCTAACAAAGAAGCTGACTCCTAGCCTGTGGGACTCACTTCCAGGACAAGGATGGACCTGGGCCCTGGACTGGCCACTGTCAATCTCTGTATCTCCCAGATGGTGGGCGAGTGTCCCCTCTTAGCCTCCTGCTACGGGGATGACAAGAGAACCAAATGCAGTCATGAGTCTGGAACACAGTGAAAATATTTGCTTGGATTATCTCAGACTTTGTCCCGAATGCCAGAGGCAGAGAGATTACAGCCCCTCATCAGAAACGTGCTGCCTGTTCTGTGAGATCAGAGTCACACAATGCCTTCTTTGTAAGCAAGCATGGAACTGGAAATATTCATTCCAGAAAGGGAAGGTTCCCGAGAGACAGAGAGATGATACCACAGCAGTCTGCCGGACGCCTCCTGCTTCTCTCACGCCTGTGAAGCCAGTCAAATAAATCATCTTGTTTTCCCGAGACCCAGGGACTAGAGTAGAAGTCAAAGCAGCTTTAGGTCGGATTCAGAGGACTTTCGCTTGTTGTACAATTCATCAGAGTGTTACTTGCCCCAGTCTATTTGAAGGATCTTCACTCTATGCAATTACAAATTAATCCTCTAAGTCGCCGATCTTTTCCATTAGCAGGAATTCAAAGGCAGAGAGCTGAAGGATGGATGGGTGTGGGGAATGGCAGAGCAAAAGAGGCTCCAGAAGACAGATTTAACCATGTTGTCATTTCACAGGGGAGGAAATGAAGGCCTCAAGGGTGAATAATATACTTTCTCTGCGCCTGCTAGTTCCTTGCTGTGTAGGGGCAGAACCAAGGATCTAAATCAAGCTCTGAGCAACCTATGTTCTGATCCCCACTTTGTATTTGGCTTTATCTTTGTATTGTTTACGATAAGCGTGGAAAAGGTTTCAATTAGAGTGTAGACACACATGTGGGAAATTCGTAAATGAATTTTTTTTAAACTTCCACCGGTAAGAGACCCGGTGAATTAAATGTAGATAAACCTCAACATAAACTGTCTTGCAATGAACAATATGGGGGTGGAGGATGATGCCCAGCTGTGAAGCCCAAAGATCCTGCCCCCACCCCATCCCAGTTTTGCTACTCTGCAGAGGCTATCAGAGCTAAAGCGAGGTATTCAGCAAATCAGTGACCAGGGCTTTAGTGCTTTGCTGAGTCGAAGGGGGAGCCTGCAAGCTAGGCATCCATCAGACCATTTCTCTGGCTACTGAAGAGCTCAGAAGTGCCCACAGAATACCCAGCTCCCAGCCTGTCTTTCTCTTCTCTAGTGCACTGAGTGCCACCGGTCTGCCCTGGTGGTCTCCTAATCCCAGAATGTTCTGCCTACTGCAGAATCAGTTGGGTTGCTGGTTAGGAGGATCCAGCTCCAAGTCTCAGGACAGGCACTCTCCCCTGCCCCCACCACCAGAACCTCAACCACATCTGTCCCGGATATGTCATGCTAGCTACAACCTCCTCCCTTCCCCAGCTGCCCTTGCCATCCATTCCAGCCTGATTCCAGGGAGAGGGTCCCAAGGGAAGTATGCATAGTACACTCCAGAGGGACATGGTTCAATTCAGTAGCCTCTTACCATGTAGACTCCCTTTCAACTTTAATTGAGTTTTAATTAAAAGGAATATTTTGAGTCACTACCGTGTAGACTCATCCATAGGCCCAGCTTTACCGATTTAGGACAAAAATCTCTGAGGAGATGCAAGTCAAGCTGCTAAATTCATGGACACATTGGTCTACCCTGGCTGAAAACTCTGGGATGCCTTTAGAAGGGGGGAGGGCCAAATCCTTGTCCTGCTGAGGTCCTGCAGCCACATCATGCCACACCACTGCAGCCACAACAATGGCCAAACTTCATTGCTTCACTAACACTCTCTGTGGAGACACAAAACTGAAAATTTTCAGATACCCTAGTGTTTGGGCTGAGAATTCTGGGGTCTTTTTGGAGTGAGAACAGGCAGCCTACCTCTCAACCTTCACAATTCCAGAAGCCCCCGGAAGCCACGTCCACCTCTCACAGCTTCTGCCATGCCAACTCATTGGCCCAGACCATAGACTCTGAAGTCACTGGACCTCAACACTGAAAATCCTGCAAGAGCACACCATATTAAATGGGAAAGAAGCCAAACTAAACTCAAGAAACAAAAGCAATAACACAGAAGGCTCAACTAGCAACAGTTTAGTAAGTCCTTAGACAAGGACTTAACAACCTTGTGGTGAGATAAAAAGTAAAGTAAAGTAAAGGCCCTCCCGTTGATCATCGATTTGCTCGAGCGGGCCCAGTAACATCTCCATTGGAGACTTTGTTGTTACTGTGTCTGGCATATCGAATACTCTCGGTAGCTTGCCGGGCTCTCCGAGAGGGGCGGAGGAATCGAACTCAGGTCGGCCATGTTGGCTGCGTGCAAGGCAAACGCCCTACCGCTGTGCTATAAAACATGTTCATAAGTCTGCACTACATGGTCCAGAAAGATAGTACAATGGGTAGACAGCCTACCTTGCACACGGTCAAATGGGGTTCAATCCCCAGCACCACACATGGTCCCCCACCCCCTTCCAGAAGTAAGCCTGGAGTAAGCAGAGCCTAAAGTAAGCCCTGAGAATTTCATGGTTATGGCCAAATAATAATAGGCCCTCCCGTTGATCGTCGATTTGCTCGAGCGGGCCCAGTAACGTCTCCATTGGAGACTTTGTTGTTACTGTGTCTGGCATATCCAATACTCTCAGCAGCTTGCCGGGCTCTCCGAGAGGGGCGGAGGAATCGAACTCGGGTCGGCCATGTTGGCCACTTGTAAGGCGAATGCCCTACCGCTGTGCTATTTTCACCAAAAAATTGATTTTTAAATTTATTGATTTTAATATTGGGGCTTTGTTATCCAATCAATTCAACTATAGAATTGTATCACCAGTGTGGCTTTTATGTGTACTAAAAAATTAATATTTTCATTTTGGTGTTTTAGTTGTAATAGCCACATTTGAAGATGCAATAGTCCTGGCACCATATGGCTATGGTATTAGCACAGATATTGAACATATTCTTAATCCAGAAAGTTCTTGTGGAAGACACTTCTCTAGAATGTTAAACCCCAAGAAGAGAGTAATTTACATCTGCCTTATTGACTACCATATTCTTAACATGTAAATACAGTGTACAGCCCATGAGAAATACTCATTAATCATATGTTGACAGAAGAAATTGCTAAGATATGTGTTAAATACTAATTCAACAGCATTATTTTATTTTGTTGTTTTCAAATAAAATATTCACATCAGTGATTCTGATGACATATTTTTTAAATGGTTCCAAGTCCAATTAAATTAAAAACAAAGCTGTGAGCCTTTCTAATAAAAGCTATTTTCTCAATATTTAATGTGTTTCTCTGGAAGAGTTGATATTCACTTGGAAACTTTGGAAGGGACAAAAGATACATAAGTTCTGAAATGTTTTAATAAGAACTTAAGAGGGAAGAGAACTTACGATGTCACCTTATTGATGCCATTAAAGAAATTACTCTTCTGTATGTTAAATTGAAAAAGTTATGTTTATCATAATTTTTTTAAAACTAGTGAACCCATTTTTGCCTTCTTAAGTTCTTGCTACTCAAGTTCATTGTCATGTGCATCATTTCACTGTGTTCCTCAGGAGGATGGAGATATGGAAGATTATTTTCCCCCAAACTAACAGTCCTGGACAGCTTTGTTCATGCTATGGATGAGGGAAATAGATAGAAGACACAGAATGAAGACACAGAACTTCACTTAATCACTTAACTTCCCGTTAGTCGTCGATTTCCTCGAGTGGGCGCCAGTAACATCTCCATTTGTCCCTGTCGCGTGCTAGTGTAGCCCAATGGCATCTGTTCGCTCTGGGAACATGAAGAGCCTCAAACCGATCGTTCATGATCTTCACAAAGAAGTCTGACCATCTGGTAGGTGGGCGGCCACGCGGTCTTTTGACATCCCATGGAATCCAGTCAGTAACAGCTCTAGTCCAGCGGTCGTCTTTAAATCTCATTACGTGACCAGCCCATCTGATTTTTGACACCTTGGCAAATGAGACAGCGTCCCTGATTCTTGATCGTCGATGGAGGTCGGAACTCCGGATTTTTTCTCTCATTTGAGTGAAACGTGATATTCCAAGCATAGCTCTTTCTATTCTTCTTTGGGAGACCTGAATAGCGTTCTCATCCTGTTTGCGTAGGGCCCACGTCTCTGAGGCATATGTTAATGCAGGAAGAACAGTGGAATCAAAGAGATGTGCCCGGAGCCGGAGGTTCTTCGTCCTCTTAGCTATTTCTTCGACGTTCTTGAAGGCGTTCCAAGCCGCTCTCTTCCTCCTGCGCAGCTCGGGTGCCAGGTCATTTGTCATGTTGACTTCTCGACCTAGGTACACATAGCTGTTGCATTTGGAGATGGTCGTTCCGTTGAGAGCGAATGGGGCGTCAGGAACGAGGCTGTTTCTCATAAACATTGTCTTCGTAAGATTCAGCTGTAGTCCTACCTTTCCATACTCACGGTCAAAGTCGGCCAGCATTTGTGCCGCTTGGCTGATGTTTGGTGTTATTAAAACAATTTCATCAGCAAAGCGGAGGTGGTGTAATTGCCGACCATCTATCTTCACTCGCATTCCTTCCCATTCCAGTCGTCGCATGATGTTCTCGAGGGTTGCACTGAAGAGTTTCGGTGAAATGGTATCACCCTGCCGAACCCCTCTCTTGACATCAACGATCTCTTCTTTGTAGAATGGTGAGATCCTGGTAGTGAATCCACAATACAGCTCACGGAGGATCTTGATGTATTGGGCTTGAATGCCCTGATTGGCTAGGGCTTCAATGACCGCTTCCGTCTCAACAGAATCAAAGGCCTTCTTTAAATCAATGAATGTTAAACAGAGCGGCATCTTGAACTCCCTAGAAACCTCAATGAGTTTGGTTATTGTGTGGATATGGTCGATGGTGCTGAATCCTTTGCGGAACCCGGCTTGCTCGCATGGTTGTCCTTCATCCAGTGTTCTGCCAATCCTATTTAGGA